TCTGGATACTCTTCCTGCGGGGAACATGGCTGCTGAGGGAAGCTGTTCTCCTGATCATCAATTTGGAAATAAGGCTAAGTTCACACTAGCTTTGTTAGGCGTTTGGGAAGCGTTTTTAACACTCCTCAAACGCCTATGAAAAGTCTACACTTGGCAGCACACTGTGCTGTTCACACTGAAGCGTTAGGGTCGAGTCTCAGCAATTGACGCCTCGTGTCCAATCAGAAGGAGTTGAAGGCTCTCATTCAAGTCTGTGCTGACGCTCCTCAAGCGCCTGGCAGGTGTTTGTGGGGCGTTTCTGAGGCAGTTGTGGAGCATTAATACCGTTAAACTTCATTATAGGCGTTTGTGGTGCGGTTTTAAAACGCTTGGCAAACGCCTCAAAAACGAGCATAGGGCGTTTGGGGAGCGTTTGAGGTGCGTTAAAAACACTTCCCAAACTCCTGTCTAACACTATAGGGGTGTTTGGCAAGAGTTAGAAATTAGTGTGATCGAGCCCTAAGAGTGATTTGGTAGTACCTTCAGTGTGGGACCTCTTGGCTGCAAGGTCATCTGATCAAGATTCAGTTGGACAGTGCTGTTAAAAAAAGAAAGAAAAGAAACAAAAACAGAAAGAAGGCCTTATTCACGTACCGTGTATATTTCTGTCCCTGGGCATCACAGATGTATGCTATGAGATATATGAGGTTCCTCATTAAGATCTCTATTGCTGACTAAGGTAGCCCATGCATTATGCAAATTTATTTCCTTCAACCATGGGTTGAAGGAAACAAAATCACTTTATTCCCACATCAACACAGTCAGTGTTAATGGGTGAATCCCTCCCGCTACGCTGTTGTATTCTGACGGCAGAGAAACCTCTCACTGTTAGAATACAACGATCGTACCAAAAAAAAAAAAAAAAAAACCCTACAGGCTGCTTGTTCTAAAGTTCATTGATACTTTGACTTCAGTTCAACCAGCCTGCCCATAGATGGATTGAAATTTGGCCAGTTCATTGGGGACTGGACAGAATTTCGATCCATCTATGGCCGGCTTAAAGGATAAGTTCACCTTTTATATAAATAAATAAATGCCCATCTTTTTGCAGGTAAAAAATGAGCATTCATTATTTTTTTTTACACTGCAGCCTGTGCGGTGGCAATGCTAGGATCCTGCAGACTCTCAGTCAGCTGTCTGCCTGTACCTCCTGTGGTGGTGGTGGGGTTGCTGTCATGGATGACTGGAAGGTGCCGTATTGTAACATATTACAAAGGTGAACTTGGCTTTTAACAGATGTTTTATGTCTGAGCAGCTCTGCTAGATTACCAAGTGTGCTGGGTTAAACACTGGTGCCTATGGGACTGGGCAGTCATATGTAATCACATGTGCAACTGCTAGAGAAGAAAAGAAGACTATGAAAGTGGAGGCTTTTAGTAGTTTGGGGGAAATTTACTAATACTGGTGCAGACAGAATTTGGAACAGCTATACATAGTAACCAATCAGCTTCTATCTTCCATTTGTTCAGTGTACATTTGAAAATGAATGCTAGATGCTGGCTGCTATGAACAGCTGTTCCAGTCTAGTTTCCCCTCAAAATCTATGTAACTGAATAACTATTTCTGTGATTTCTGTCGTACTTTAGGGCTCGTTTACACCAGATACAGTCATGTGCGGTTTTTTAAATGCAGGAAAAAAAAACTGCAAATGCATATGGAAGAAAAATGAATGTATTCTTATGAGCCTAGTTTACATCATTGCAGCGCTTTCATGCATTTTAAATAAAGTACAGCATGTTGCATTTTTCTGCACTGGAATGCAAATCAACATGTGCAAACACTCATGAATGCTTGTAACACATGTAAATGCGACTTCCCAAAGAAAGTACAATGAAATAAATAAAATGTTATTCCAAAAAGTGCACCACAAACACACTAAAACTGCATGTAGTTGCACATGCACAAATGCACAGTGAACGCAACTATTGCGGTGTAAATGAGTCCTTAAAGTGGTTGTAAAGGCTGAAGGTTTTTACCTTGCATAAAAAACCTTCTGTGTACAGCAGTGCTCCCAGCCCCCTCAATACTTATGTGAGCCTCATCGTGATCCAGTGATGTGAATGACAGCCTCAGCTGCCCCAGGTCTCTGCCACCTCGTTGGCTGAGACAGGAAGTGGGAGCCATTGGCTCCCGCTGCTGTCAATCACAGCCAGTCAGCCAGTGAGAGAGGTGGTGGGGCCAAGCCGCAGCTCCTTGTGTGAATAGACACACGGAGCAGCGTGCCCCTATAACAAGCTGCTTGATGTGGGGGCACCCAACAGACAGGAGAGCCTGTGGGGAACCCGAGAAGAAGAGGATCCAGTCTGCTGTAAAGACAAAGTTTCAATTGTGTTGTCATAGAATATTTGTTTGTAAAATATTTATGAATTAGTAAAGTCATAGTAAATGTGTTTTTGTCTTGTGTTTTTGTTTTTTTTTTTTTTAGGACCCAAGCAAGGATGAGTTCCCTTTTGGAACGCCTCCATGCCAAGTATAACCAGAACCGACCATGGCCCGAAACAATAAAGCTGGTTCGACAAATTATGGTAAGTGGACTGTAGTTATTCCTTTCCTCAAAGTACATGTAAAGCCTAATTGTAAAACATTAGCTCTTGAGTGTACCGTGTATCATAAACAGTTACTATTTTTTATTTAAAAAAAAAAAAAGTTTTTACCTTTCTGCATTTTTTGTTGCTTAGTAGTGCTGCAGATCTGCCTCATCCTTGTTGCATCCACTTCCTGTCTACATGCTTGTATTGTAGTGATGGCATTTCTTAGGGCAGGTTTCCTGTTGATGGCTACAGCATCTGTGTATGTGTTTTGAAACTTCCTCTTGTCATTTCCATCAAAATGCCATGTGACAACATAAGAGCCCAATTGGGAGACGGACAAAGTGTTGTCACCCTATAACAGGGAGTACCTGAACAAGCATCTGGATTACCAGGTATTATCTTTATGAAAACTGTAGATTTAGAAGGTTTAACAATGAACTTTGAAATTTTAGAACAATCCATTTTGCAGAGTTTTTGCATCGTGTCATACTGTTTTCTTCTTTTTTTTTTTTTTTTTTTTTATGTTTTAGTTGCAAAGCATTTTTTTTTTTTTTTTAGTTTCAAAGTTTCTTAGCAGGTGATCTTGCCAGTAACAGATATTCCTGTTTCAGGCTGACTATGCTCAGCTGCCGTCGTGAGTTGATCATTGTCTGATCTTTGCATGCCTGCTTCAGACCTGATAGGCCAAGCTGCAATAATGTGTATGGCAGGCTTACAATACTGCTGCTGACTACAAGGCAGCAGCTTAGTTTTGTCAGCCTGAAACAAGAAGCTCTATTACTGGTAAGATCCCTGTACATGATGCCAAACAAAATAAAAAATCGATTTTTGGGTTTATGAACATTTTTAAAGCTAAAGTGGTTCTAAAGGCTCAAGGTTTTTTTTTACCTTCATGCAATCCTATGTATGAAGGTAAAACACCTTCTGTATGTAGCAGCCCCACCCCACCCCACACTTATCTGAACCCTCTCTCGATGCAACGGTGACCAAGAGAGCCTCTGTACTCCGGGGACTCTCACTCCTGATTGGCTGTAACTGTCAGTTACAGCCAGTGAGCCAATCAGGAGAGTGAGGGGGTGGGGCAGAGCCGTGGCTCTGTGTGTAAATGGACACGCAGACTCGCAACTCAGGTGCCCTCATAGCGAGCTGCTAGCTGTGAGGGGGGGACGGCACTTGATGGGAGGGAGGGGCCAGGAGCGCTGGTGGGGGACCTGAGAGGAGGATCCAGACTTTGTAGTGTCCCTTTTAACCGCTTTTAATACATGTAGTAACCTGATTTACACTATGGGAAGTGTTTGCATTCCATTACATGTTACTGAACACTGAGAGAGCGATCTGGAGGCGAGTGATTTTCCCAAGTGCCATGGTGTGGAGGAACATCATGTTTAATACAAACGCTGTTTGTAACTTCTGATGTGGAGGTCGCACACGCTCTGGTAAGACTCGGAGTGATCTATTTTGGTGGAGGACACGGTGTGAGTGGAGTCACTAAAATATCTTCCAACACTAATTATTGAGTTCACTCTTCAGAGGACTGTCACTTCATATTGGGCTTTCTTTTCAGAGGACTTTTATTATTGCTATTGAATTTTAATTTATTGCATCAGTGATTAAATTTGTTGTTCAGCGTATTGATCGCTTTATATTGTGTTCACTCTTCACTTATGTTTTTTGCAATTTCTATATATTATTATAGTACTGATTATTTTCCTATTGGTAGCGCTGCACTTACGCTATATTGCCAAAAGTATTGGGACACCTGCCTTTACACACACATAAACTTTAATGGCATCCCAGTCTCTGTTCGTAGGGTTCAATAGTGAGTTGGGTTGGGTTGAGGTTAGGACTCTGTGCAGGCCAGTCAAGTTTCTCCACCCCAGACTCGCTCATCCATGTCTTTATGGACCTTGCTTTGTGCACTGGTGCGCAGTCATGTTGGAACAGGAAGGGGCTATCCCCAAACCGTATCACAAAGTGGGGAGTGTAAAATTGTCCAAAATGTCTTGGTATGCTGACTCCTTTAAAAGTTCTCTTCACTGGAGCTAAGGGGCCAAGCTCAACCCCTGAAATACGACCCAACAGCATAATCCCCCTCCACCAAACTTTACACTTGGCACAATGCAGTCAGGCAAGTACCGTTCTCCTGGCAACTGCCAAACCCAGACACATCCATCAGAAGAGTGATTCATCACTCCAGAGAACACATCTCCACTGCTTTAGAGTCCAGTGGTGGCGTGCATTACACCACTGCATCTGGTGCTTTGCATTGCATTTGGTGCTTTAAGGCTTGGATGCAGCTGCTCGGCCATAGAAACCCATTCCATGAAGTTCTCTATGCAGTTGTTGTGCTAATCTGAAGGCCACTCGAAGTTTGGAAATCTTTAGCTATTGACTCTACAGACAGCTGGTGACTTCTGTGTGCTTCAGCATGTGCTGACCCCGTTCTGTCATTTTACATGTCCTACCACTTCGTGGCTGAGTTGCTGTTGTTCCCAGTTGCTTCCACTTTGTTATAATACCACTAACAGTTGACCGTGGAAAATTTAGTAGCAAGGAAATGTCACGGATGGACTTATTGCACAGGTGGCAACCTATCACGGTACCACGCTTGAATGCACTGAGCTCCTGAGAGTGACCCATTCTTTCACAAATGTTTGTAGAAGCCGTCTGCATGCCTAGGTGCTTGATTTTATACACTTGTGGCCATGGAGGTGATTGGAACACCTGAATCCAGTGATTTGGAGGGGCATCCCAATACTTTTGGTAACATAGTGTGTTTTGATATTGGTGTGTTGTATAGTGTATCCTATACTTTGTCTTGGCTGCTTTAGGTATTTGTGTGTTTTTGGCCAGCGGATTTTTCAGTTCATAAATGGTTTTCCTATGTACTGCCGTACAGCAGCGTTTGCTGACCCTGTCACAGAAGGCCATTGCTTCCTCATGCTCTGCAGTGGTTCTTAAGAACATTTTGTTGGTAAGCTCTCACTGTACACAGTTTGTACATTGGGCCAGGGTGACCTAGTCATGTGCGGCCAATAATCCTTACTGCTGTGCACTGTAAGTAACCCTTGTTGCTTGCATTTCACTCTATATTGCTGTACACTACTCTACATTGGTCTGTGAGTACCGTATTTTTCGCTCCATAAGACGCACCTGACCATAAGACGCACCTAGGTTTTTGAGGCGAAAAACAAGAAAAAAAAAATATTCTGAACCAATGGACTGCAGACACAGTACAAGGGATGACCAGAGACTGCGGACACAATACAGGGGATGACCAGAGACTGCGGACACAATACAGGAGATGACCAGAGACTGCGGACACAGTGCAGGAGATGACCAGAGACTGCGGACACAGTGCAGGAGATGACCAGAGACTGCGGACACAGTGCAGGAGATGACCAGAGACTGCGGACACAGTGCAGGAGATGACCAGAGACTGCGGACACAGTGCAGGAGATGACCAGAGACTGCGGACACAGTGCAGGAGATGACCAGAGACTGCGGACAAAGTACAGGAGATGACCAGAGACTGCGGACAAAGTACAGGAGATGACCAGAGACTGCGGACACAGTGCAGGAGATGACCAGAGACTGCGGACACAGTGCAGGAGATGACCAGAGACTGCGGACACAGTGCAGGAGATGACCAGAGACTGCGGACACAGTGCAGGAGATGACCAGAGACTGCGGACACAGTGCAGGAGATGACCAGAGACTGCGGACACAGTGCAGGAGATGACCAGAGACTGCGGACACAGTGCAGGAGATGACCAGAGACTGCGGACACGGTGCAGGAGATGACCAGAGACTGCGGACACGGTGCAGGAGATGACCAGAGACTGCGGACACAGTGCAGGGAATGACCAGAGACTGCGGACACAGTGCAGGGAATGACCAGAGACTGCAGACAGTGCAGGGAATGACCAGAGACTGCAGACAGTGCAGGGAATGACCAGAGACTGCAGACAGTGCAGGGAATGACCAGAGACTGCAGACAGTGCAGGGAATGACCAGAGACTGCAGACAGTGCAGGGAATGACCAGAGACTGCAGACAGTGCAGGGAATGACCAGAGACTGCAGACAGTGCAGGGAATGACCAGAGACTGCAGACAGTGCAGGGAATGACCTGAGACTGCAGACAGTGCAGGGAATGACCTGAGACTGCAGACAGTGCAGGGAATGATCAGAGACTGCTGACCTTTGAGGAGGGAGGGGGAGCGGGTACCTGAATTTGACAGGTACCCGCTCCCACTTCCGCGGAGTTGTCCTTCGCTCTTCTTCCCGGGCCGGCTTCTGTAACAGCCGGGTGCCCACTGCGCATGTGCGAGAAGCGCTGCGCTTTGTGAATGGCTCGGCGCCTTCTGGGACCTGTCATGTGTCCCAGAAGACACCGGATCATTCACAAAGCACAGCACATGCGCAGTGGGCACCCGGCTGTCACAGAAGCCAGCGCGGAAAGACTGTGCAGCGCTGGAGCGAGGAACAGGTAAGGCCCTGCAGGGGAGAACAGCTGAGCGGGCCGGCCCGGTATTCTGACATGGTGGCGGCAGAAATACCGGACCGGCCGCTTTATATTCGCTCCATAAGACGCACTGACATTTTCCCCCCTTTTTTGGGGGGAAAAAAGTGCGTCTTATGGAGCGAAAAATACGGTAATTCCTATTAGTAATATCTTACTGCGTACTATTTGTACAACGTCCTAGGGCGTCCTAGTTATGCAGGGCCAGTGACCTTCCTGCTTTACATCGAGCCAGTGAGTACCTCATATTGATAGTGACCTAATAACACACAGCCTTTAACCCCTTTTTGCCTTTGCAGAAGGATTATGCGTATCCTTGTTAGTACTTTTTATACAGCGGACTTTTGTGACATTGTCTGGAAGGCCATCATACTTTTCTGCTCTGTAGTCATTCTGTGAGTACCCTTGCAGATCTTGGCTCACTTGCTTACAGTTGTTTAGACATCTATGTTGTCCAAGCCACAAAAGACCCTCGACCCCCTTTGCTCTGCAGTAGGTCCAATGTACTGGGTCTATCTATGTTGCATTGTGTTGTAGGGTGGCCTGCAGGTACTCGGTCACAAGCAGCATTTTTAGTACCTTTTTGCTCTGTAACTGATCTGTGAGTTTTCCTTGTGGCTGTTTCCTCATTAAATTCTATTGTCTGATGTCCTGTGGTCCTAGTATGTGGATAGCTATGGGGCTTTCCTGTTCTGAAGTAAATCAATGAATAGCTTTTGCTGGTACTGTCTCTTGTGTACGGGTCATTTGACGAAACATGGTGTCCTAGTCGATCATGGCCATAAACTCCTATTTCTCAGAGAAGATTCGGGAGAATCCTTTTTTGCTAAAGTTTCCCTGAGTCTGGTTGGTACAGCAGCATAAAGTGCCCTGTTGTCCATGATCATTGACCCCCCTGCTCTGCAGTAGGAACATGTGTTCCTTCTTGTTGGCATTATTTCACTCTATTTAGTTGTTACTGATTGACCCCTACTGCTTTGCAGTGGGTCTGTGAGTCCGCCTTGTCAGTAAATGTTCCCTGTGTACTGTTGTACATTGGCCTGTCAAGACCTGGTCATGCATAACATTTTTCACCCTTCTGCTCCACCCTGGTATGTGAGTATATCTTGTTGGTAGCATCGAATTTGTTAACCATTTTATAGTAGATTGCTGGGCTTAGACTTGTACAGCAGGCATCACTTGATGCTTTGCAGTGTGTCCTTGAGGGAATCATGGTTGTTTTGTCACACTGGTATCCTGTTTGTACAGTGGCCTAGTGTGGACCTGCCCCTCTCTCCTTATGGGGGTCCTTGTACAGGATTTTGCTTACATTGCTCTTGCTGTCTGTTCCCAGTGATTCCATGGGATCTCATTCTGGGGTTTATGTCCATTTCTTTGGACTGCTTTGTGACTTTTATCAAAGATTCTTCTCTGTCTGTTCTTACACATGGGGGTTGCCTTCCTGTGGCTCTTCTATGCAGTAAGTTCTATGTTTGCTACTTGAACAGTAAGGAACTTTTTCCCGTTATCTATATGGAAAGGGTTGCTTTGTGGCCAGGACCCTATATCTTCCTAAGGTGTTCACCTTAACTAGGATTTTGTTCTACCTTTTCTCTGGCCTGTACATCCTCTGGAGATTCTCTCCATAGACTGGTATAAGGAGCCTGCACCTAGGGTTTCCTGCACATACCTTCAGCAGCTTTCAGAATTCCCTGCTTTGCAAAGTCATGGATCAGTCTTCTCAAAGTCACTAATGGACACCTTCATGCTTTTCTCAGGAAAGATTTTTGTTAAAGTAAACCTGTGCAATGCAAGAGAAGCAAATGATGAAGAAATGTATGAGCAGAGGTTACCTTCAGAGAAAACTATGTGTAAAAACAATTGGTGCATCCACAGATAGTTAGGTCCATATATATTTGGACACGGGCACAAATATCACACTTTTGGCTCTGTATGCCACCAGAATAATTTAAAATGAAACAATCCAAATGAATTTAAAGTGCAGACTTTCAGCTTTAATTCAAGGGGTTGAACATAAGTATCAAGTACACATTTTAGGAACTTAAACCATTTTTATACACAGTCCCTCCATATTCAGGCGCTCAATGTAATTGGACAAATAAATATAATCATAAATAAATTGTTCATTTTTAATAATTTGTTGAGAATCCTTTACTGGCAATGACTGCCTGAAGTCTGGAACCCATGGACATTACCAAAAACTGGGTTTCCTCCTTTCTGATGCTCTGCTAGGCTCTAACTGCACCTGTCTTCAGTTGTTCTTTGTTTGTGAGTCTTTCTGCCTTTTAGTTTTGCCTTCAGCAAGTAAAATGCATGCTCAATTGGGTTGAGATCAGGTGATTGACTCGGTCAATGCACAATATTCCACTTGTTTTCCTTAAAAATTTCCTGGGTTGCTTTTGCAGTGTGTTTTGGATCATCTGTACTGTGAAGTGCCGTACAATCAAGTTTGCTGCATTTGGCTGAATTTGGGCTGACAGTATATCTATAAACACTGCAGAATTCATCCGGCTGATCCTGTCTTCTGTCATATCATCAATTAACACCAATGACCCAGTGCCACTAGATGCCATGCATGCCCATGCCATCACACGGCCTCCACCATGTTTTACAGATGACGTTGTGTGCTTTGGATCATGAGCTGTTCCAAGCCTTCTCCACACTTTTTTTCTTCCTGTTATTCTGGTAAAGATTAATCTTAGTTGCATCCATCCAAAGAATGCTTTTCCAGAACTGGTCTGGCTGTTTTAGATGTTTTTTGGCAAAGTCTAATCTGGCTTTTCTATTCTTCAGGCTCATGATTGGTTTGCACCTTGTGGTGAACCCTCTGTATTTGCTCTCGTGAAGTCTTCTCTTGATTGTAGATTTGGCAGTGATGCACCCAGCTCCTGGAGAGTGTCCTTCACTTGTCTGGATGTTGTGAATGGGTTTTTTCTTTACCATACAGAGGATCCTGCGATCATTCACCACTGTTGTCTTCCATGGACGTCCATGCCCTTTTATGTTGCTGAGCTCACCAGTGTGTTCTGCTTTCATCACAATGTACCAAACTGTTGATCTGGCCACTCCTAATGTTTCTTCTATCTCTCTGATGGATTTGTTTCATTTCTGAAGCCTTACAATGGCCTGTTTCACTTGCATGGACAGCTCCTTTGAACACATGATGTAGTTTCACAGCAATAGATTCCAAATGCAAATACCACACTTAGAATCAACTCCAGACCTTTTACCTGCTGAATTGATGAAGAAATAACGAAGGAGTAGCCCACACTTGGCCATGAAACAGCTTTTGATTCAATTGTCTATTTACTTTTGATCCCTTGAAAAAGGGGGGGGGCTACTCTTAAGAGATGTAATTCCTAAGCCCTTCCTCCAATTTGGATGTACATACCCTCAAACCTGAGAGTGTGCACTTTCAGCCCATATCCATTATAACTATAGCTTGAACATGTTTTGGTAAATACCTGAAAAAATCTAAAATAATGCCTGTGTCCAAATATATATGGACCTAACTGTATATGCAGCTGAAATTCTATCAGTTCTTGACTTCTTCCTGTAGAAGTCTGTATTAGCCTTGTTCCCCCTCGTTTCCAAAGTTTTCTCTGTTTGAAATATTTAACATGTGAAAAGTGAAAGCTCAAGTTTTGGCTATTGCTGGAAAAGTGAGGATTTTCATATAACTTTAGCTCCCAATATCTGCGGATATGCTGATAACGTAGTTCACACTTCTGATAACTGCTGCTTGTGCATCTCTAATTAGATACTGTATTCAAGATGTATGTGACAGGTTTACGTGAAGAATAGGTGTTTTCAGGAAAATGTCCTTTACCCACACCCCCCCACCCTCCTCAACACATATAAACCAGAAATGCAAGCTGGCCTAGAGCTGGCAGCCTCACCAGATCAGGAACCATAGCATTTGCTTTCATCCTGCAAGCAGACATTTTTTTCTGCTACTTCACTCATATGCAGTTGTCCCCAGACTGGAGGCAGTCCTTTTATGCAAGTAGGGGATTTTACTATGTGTACAGTCCAGTTCCTACTATTCTGTTTGTACACATCTTTTAATAATTACAGTTGAGTAATTTAGACCAGAGATCTTATGGAAGCTTAGATTATTTTGAATAGCCTAAGTAGTCCTTTATGTTCATTGAATCCACTTTTCAGGAGAAGAGGACTGGAATGATAACTGGAGGGCACCAACACCTTGTTAGCTGTCTGGAAACCTTACAAAAAGCTTTGAAAGGTGAGCATTTTTACGTTTATCTGTTTTCAGTTACATGCATTCACCAAGGACCTTTCCTGCACTGTAAATCTAATTTTTTCTTTTTTAAGTGTCTTCCCTTTCTGCTATGACGGATCGTCTGGAGTCAATAGCAAGACAAAATGGGTAAGTAAGCCTTTTCTGTGAAGAAATTTAAGAGTATTATTTACTCCCTTACCAACATGTGTGTTAAATTAATTATGTAATGCTGGTTTGTATTTTAAATGTTTTTTAAATGTGATCTGTTTAATGTAACAAGTGTATGTGTTTTAATATAAACATTCCTTTTATAGTCTACAGAAACAATTGAGTACTGTCCGTGATACTTTTTTTTATTTGCACTAACATACAATTTTCAGGACAAGCTTTCGGGGAATGTCCCCTTCTTCAAGGTCTAAGCATTACTACTCACAAA